TATACCATCAATTTATAAAGTAACTTGCTTTTTAAAGAGAATTTATTTACCAAAAATTTATTTAAGGTATATGAGGATTTTATAAGCAGCTTAAAGGTGATAATTTTTTGGTTTGTGCATAAATTGACCGAAGAGGTTAACTGCAAATATGATGTTTGGACCTTTGTGACTAATATTTGATATTGTCCTGTTTTTATTTTTGTTCTTTTTTATTTTTGTTATTTAGTTTAGGTTTTGTAATTAGTTATTTTTGTTACTTTTAGTACATCAATTATATAATTTTGTTGAGAAATGAATATTCCTTTTTATGATTGAACAACTTTTATTTTTAAGAAATATTTAAGTTTGTCTAACTCTTTCATCTTGAATTCTTCAATAAGTTTTTTTTTTTTTGAGAATCAATTTCACTATTGTCATCATCTGTGAGAATTATATTATCAATATATACATTGAGAATTGAGATTTTTCCATCAGTGGAGTATTTTATGAAGAATGTATGATCTCCTTGGTTTTCTTTGTATCTAACTTCATTTATGATTTTTATTAATTTACATTGGTGGATGAGATATTTTGATAATTTTTTTCATTGAAGATTGTAAGAATGTGATTGACTTTAGTGATTGTAGCATCCTAAATGAAAATAGAGATTTTTATTTTTATAATCATATTAGTAAATCTGAAGTTGCAGAGGCTTTAAAGAAAATGAAGTGTGAAAAAATAGGACCCGATGAGTATGTAAATGCTTAGGAGATCAAGAAAATATTTAGTTTACTAAACTTCTTAATATTATTTTGAAGACTAAAAAGTTGTCAGATGAGTGTAGAATGAGTGTGTTGGTTCTTAGTTTTAAGAATAAGGGTGATGCACATGTGTGCGCGAATTATAGATGAGCTAAGTTAATATGTCATATGTTAAAATAAATGGGAAAAAGTAATTTAGCATAGGTTACGACATATATACTAATATTTCTTAAAATTATTTTGAATTAATGCTAGGTAGGTCTACTATGGAAGCTGTACATTTGTTGAGAGGTTTGATAGAGAAGCATAGAGAGTACAGAGGATCTATTTATGATATTTATTGATTTGGAGAAAATATATGAAAAAGTTCCAAGAGAAATGCTCTCGAGAGTTCTAAAAAAGAAAGAAGTTAATAATGTTTATATTCTGAGTCATTAAGGATATGCATACGGAAGCTGTTACTTGTTGATGTAGTGGATCGTCGGAAGACTCGACCTGCAAGAAGGATTTTGGGATCCCAATCCAGGGAAGAAGAAGAGAGCTTTTCAAAAGCTTCAAAGACTAAAAAAATATCATTCAATGTTTTCTTCTTCTACAAGACCTCCTACTTATGAGAGCAAAAGAGTATTCTAGAACAAAATGGATAAAGTACTCCTAAGGACTATCCTAGCTTAAAATGCACCGCATCATTCTCCCCTAGCGTAAAAAGGTTTGACTCCGTCGAGACGCATTATTGAAAAAGAGATTGTTGCAGAAGACAGATTCCCGGATCGAAGATTTTGTTCTCAATATTTCCGAAATTAGCAACTTTTCTCTTCATCGAAGCCTCGAGTACCGCAGTATCACCCTTGTGTGAAAATTTTCTCCAAACTTGCAATGCCTCCATCATGCTATCTCTCACGGCTTTCATCTTATCAAAACAACAAGCCTCAAGAGACTCAATTATAGGAGAAGTCTCATTGGTAATCAAAGAACCTGGATAAGAGGTAAATGTAACCAACGAATCCATAGCAAACTTATGAGTGGCCCAATCAATAATCTCAAGACATTCATGAATGCCTTGAAGCACAGTTGGCATACCCTTTGTACCAATTGCCCCTATCTTTGTTAACTCTGCAATCAGCTTGGAAGGTTCAACCATGATATCTTTTTGGTTCTCAATGGAATCGGAAACAGCCAGCTGCATATTCGGTGGATCCTCCTCATTGACAACAGCCAAGAACTGCTCCCACTTATCATCTCCAGCTCCCAAATCATTAACAATACAATGCCGCACCATTCTATTTTGGGAATAATAGATTCCTTCAGAAGCTAGGAGACAATCCTTGCTACAGATCTTAGCTGCTAATAGCAATGCCCTCAAATCACCCGGATTTTCATGCTCATGCAGAACTTTTCTTAGTAAATTTAAAGCCTCTTCATCATGTCCTGCTCCGCAGAGGCAAAGAGATAAGGTATACCGCCTATCACGTCTGGGATACATTCCAGGTAAGACCTCTTCAATGTGCCTTGACAAAATAATAGTCTGACTGCATTGAGATAAGGCAAATGTAAAATTTTCCATCAATGATGGATCCCACTGAATCTGAACAAAATACCATTTCTTCAACAAAATCATTAAGAGCAAGATGGCCTCCTCCAAGTTGTTTTTTGGAACAAATGAGCCATCCGTTTGAGCAGCCAAACATGGGGGACCAGCCTCTACACCACCATATAGCAGGAGGACTGCAAATCTTTTCTCTATCCCTTCACGGTATTCATATTCAAGATTCCAGTGACCAAGAAGAGCACGTCTATATGAAGCCAAAGCTTCCTGATACTGTCCAGCTTGCTTCCTGATAATGGGCGCTGGAGAATCTGGAAAATTACTTCCATTGGAATTGTCATTCCAAGCTGCAGTTACCTCAAGAGGCTCTGCCGACATTACCTTCTCACCATCAATCCAGAAATCATAATATGCACCAGATTGTGGAGCCAAAAGTGTTGTATTGAACTAAGCCAATTACATCCTTGAGCTCTGGAATATGGAGCAGAGAAGAAACCCCACAATGCCTCATGTCAAGATCCTTGATTCCTTGCTCCTCGATAGTGGTAGTAGGGCCATAATATGTAAGTTTCCTATTTTCCTTGCTCCCGTACGCAGAGTCTGACAGCTCAAATTTGAGATCCCAGCCTTTATTGACATTTCGTCGAGCATCTTGTGAGCGTTGTATTGAATAAGCTTTGCCAGTGTACTGCAACTCAGCCATTTGCACACCTGCAATGAAAATGTTCTCAATACAAATACAATAGTCGGCATTTAACTCAATCGCCCCGTTTCTGCTGAATAAGCTTGATTCGTTGTATTGAATAAGCTTTAATGGAATAAGCTTTGTCAGTGTACTGGGTTGATGGGAATGTGCGTGGTTTGGACGCCAGATTTGGTTCAGCGGGGTTACCGGAGGCAACTTGAATGAAGATTGCATTGGAGTCTTCTTCAGCAAATCTGTCGCCCGCTTCTTGCATAACGTCGGAGTCGGAGCAAGCGGCACGACTGAAATCTGGTCGTGAGAGATCGAGCCCAATACCTGGAGCAAAATCGCGAGAACAGAGTGGGTTCTCTGTCTGCTGGGGCCGGAGTGGAGTGGGCGGCAATGGAGAAATGGTATCGGCGGCTGGGTCGGCGGGGGCCTGGTCGGCTGCTGTCGGCGAGTGGAGTTGAGTGGCCTGAACGGGCACGCTGTGGTCAGATGGAATCGGAGTAGCAACTGTGAGTGTTGGATCGGGCATCTCCGAGTCCAAAGGAATGGAATACGGGCACTCTGTGCGTGTTCCGATGAGCTGAGCAGAGGTGGAATCGGCAGTTGCTTCGTCATTTATGGGAAGAATAGATGAATCAGAGGCAACATCACGGGCAACGGAACTGGGTTGTATGCTAGGCGCTGAATCGCGCTTGTTGTCAGGCATTGAATCGCGCTCGTCTCCAGGCGCGGGTTCATTGTTTGCGTGCTGCAGCGGAAGTGGAACGCTCGGATTTGATTTAATCTGTGGAGGC